GGGCTGGTAGTCAGGCATTGGCGCCCCGTCGGACTCATCGATGCGCGAGTTGAGCTCTGGCTGCAGCAGGGCGGCGGCGTGGTCAACGACGCTGATCCTAATGGGTGTGGGGCACGGTGCCGTTGTGTGCCGCGTGGGCGCCATCTTGCCTTGGCCCGGTGGGTGTGCTCGGGCCGGGGTGCGCGACCGTTCCCTGCGCGGTTGGCTGCGAGGGTCGCGTTGGCGATGGCTGGCGTTGCGGGCGCGGCAATTGCGGTCGGCGCGCGTGCGTGCGCCGCGAGGGAGCCCACCGCTTGGGCTGGGCTTGCTGGGCTGCCGGGGGTGGTCCAGCTGCGCGCGTGGGGAGGGCGAGAGGCGTGGTGCGCCGCCCGGATGGTGCGGCGTTGGCGTGGTATTAGGGGCGCCCGAAACCCGCGTGGGCACCCGCTCCAGGCTAGGCAGAGAGCCGCTCTGCGCGGCGGCGGCCTGGGAATCCATCGCCCCGCTTGCGGGGGATGGTCAGGCGTGGCGGAACCAGCGCCGCTTGCCGAAAGGGCAGTTGCCGGTCTCCTGCAAGTAGCGGCACCACTCTCTCCGCGAGCCGGACTTCTCGTTCTCGCCCTTCCCGCGTGGCTTCCCCTGGCCGCTGGGCTTGCCCTTGCCGGCCGCCTTGCCCTTGCCGCTGCGCGGGTCTTTGAGAGCGGGCTTCAGGGCTTGCAGTTTCTTTGCCGTTCTCTGCGCCTTGGATAGACGCCTGCGCTTCGCTGTCGGGCCGTCCGCGTCCCCGAGCGCGGCGAGGGGCGTGCTGTCGCGGCTCCTCGCGAGGTGCGGGCGCGCGGCCTGGGAGCCCCCGGCGGACCCGAGCGTCGGCGCGCCGGGTTGCGCGGCGAGGCGCGGGGCAAGGGCGAGCGTCGCATCGAGCTCGCCATTGTTGGGCGGGGCGCAGGCCAGGATGGCGCCGTCGATCTTGTCGCCGTTCTGCGAAGCCTTGTGCCACTGGTTCTGGCATGCCATGTAGGCCTCGTGGTACTTCGCGACCGTGAGGTTGCGGTGCCCTGGCCGCGGCGCCCGTTTCTTCCGGGCCTTGGCCCAGAACCGCTGGTGGAACACGTCCAGGGATTTGATGTCCGCCACCCGACCGACCAGGTAAATCAAGTTCTCGACTATGTAAGCCCAAGTCTCAAGTTCCTCGAGCGCGTCGGGCGGCGCCTCCTGGATGGCCGGGAGTCTCCAAGCCAATGCGCCGCGCTGTGCGGGGCCCAGGATGCTGACCGGGGCGCGCCGCTTCACAACCTCCTCAGATAGGACCTTGTCCGCGAGGAGTGGGATGCACTCCTTCTGCGCGCGGCGCACGCGCTCGCAGCGCCCCCAGAGGCGGGCGCTGGGCAAGCGGGCGTCCTCGACCTCGTGCTGGCGCGCGGCAAAGAGGGCTTCGATGCGGCGCTCGCGGTCGGCCGGGTCCAGTTCGTCTATAGTAATCCTCGTGCCCCGGATCCTTGGCCTCGATGGGCATGGCCTCCGGCGCGGCCGCGGGGGCGCCCTTGTTCGCCTCGTTGAAGCACGGGCGGAAGAAAGCCACCGCGTCAGCGCAATGCCCGTTCCCAGGCTTGCCGATCTGGACGGCCGCGCGCACGGCGTCGACGAAGACGATGTCCACCACCTTCTCGATGACGGCGCCGCCCTGGCCCTGCAAGTACTCCAGCGCGACGCAGGTGGCCACGGGCTGCGCGCTGGCGAGGCCGGCGTCCGTGAGGTGCTGCCGAACGTCGGCGTGCAGCTTGGCGACCTCCGCCTCGAAGTCCATGGCTGAGCCTGGCGGCCGGTGGGGCGGTGCTCTGCTGAGGGCGGCGCGGGGAGGCGCGTGGTCCAGGCGCGCGAGAGCAACGGCTGCAGGGGCCCACAAAGATACTTAACGGCTGGGCTTGCGGGAAGCCGCGCGCGCTGACTGAGGCCCACACGGGGCCCACGAGCCCCCCCACCCCCGCGCCGACCCCGACCCGACCGGGCGGGGCGCGGGGGGGGAGGAGAGGGGCGCGCGCGCACGGCAGAGGGGCCCCAGGGAAACCCCAGGACACGGCACCCCGACAGCGGCCGCGATGGGTTCCCCAGCAAGGCCCAGCCGTTGGGACAGCATCGACCGCGTTGCCAGACCTCTAGAGGATGTGCCGACGCCCGCCCGCGAGCCCACCGGGTGGGCAGCCCGGCGCACACGGTGCCGCGTGCCCAGCGGGCGCGGGTGGGCGCCGTGGGCACGGCCTCTTGCGTTCTGGCCTCGCTCTTGCGAATTGCTGTGACCGACCCCCGGGGGGCATTTCCCCCTCGCTTGCTTGGCCCGACTCCCCTTCGCATTCCCCCATGCGCCGAGGTCGACCCGCGCATTGTTTGCGTTGAGAAGCAGAAGAGACGGTTGGACGGCCGGGGGGGGACAGGGGGCGGGCAGCTGGCCAGGGCCCTCCCTGCAGCGCGGGCGACATCGGCCCACCTTCCGGCGCGGGGGGGGGCAACAATCCCGGGGGCGGGCCTGCGCCTGCGCTCGTCGCGCAGTTCGGCGCCAGGCCGCACAGTGCCGCCGTCCGCCGTTGCCAAAGCTCGGCAAGCTCGCCCCCCCCCGGCCCCTGGCGGGCGGGGAAGGGAAAGCCCCGCAAAGACGCAGGCATGGTGGCACTGTCTGCACGGGCGCCTGCCTGGCACGGCTTATCTTGAGTACTAGCAAGGTCGAGGCCGTTCCGCTCTCCCGTTTCTTGCAAGGGGAATTCCGGCCGGGTTGGGGCATGTTTTCCCAGGTACGGCAACCCAGACACGGTTTCTTATTGGCCTTGCGGGCCGTTTACGACCCCTCCTCGCGCGCGCGTCCGGCCGCCTCAGAGGGCCGCCCGTCGCGCGCGCGACATGCAGACCTCGCAGAGCCTCGCGTCCGAGAACTTGACGCCTTCGTCCCACACGGCGCTGTGCAGGCGGAAACCGCACAGGTTGGTGACCACCCCGTGCGCGCACTTGACGGCGATCTTGTTCGGCTTCGCGCGGCCCTCCTCCACGAGGGCGGCAACGTGGACGTAGACCCTCCGCTCGCCGCCGTCGCCCGCGGCCGTGATGTACCCGCGCGGGCCCGGCCGGGGCCCCCGAGGAGGCGTCGGGCCCGGTCGCGGCGCGACGGGCTGCGCCTTCGCGGCATTCTGTGCCGGCGCCGGCTGCGCGCTCGCGGCTGCCGGCAAGACCGCCCACTGCAAACCGGGCGGCACATTTGGCAGGAACGGGCCCACTGCGATGTCCTGCAGGAGCTCCGAGAGCTTTTGAACAAGCACGGACAACTCTGACGTGTTGTACGCCCGGACGAGCTTCGCGACCCCGGCACTGCGGTGGTGCCCCAGAATGGCGAGCTCCGGCTCGCCGAAGCGGCCGCTGGTGCCCGCCCACGTAAGCAGCGTCCGTTTCGCCGCATGTAGCGTCACGGTCGCCGCCGTCTCGCGCTCCAGTCCAGCCGCGCGCAGGGCGGAGCGGATCTGCGTTAGCCACTCGTCTGCGGTCGCCACTCCCGGCGGCGACTCTTTGGCGCGCGCCGCCCACGGGGACGGCGCTGCGTATTCGGCGCCCATGAGCCCGAGCGTCTGCAGGTCGTCGCAATACCGTTTGGCCCACTCCGATGGGATCGCGGACACTCCTCTGGCGGGCACCGCCCAGGGCATGGGCGACTCGACGCGGCAGATGGTTGCCTCGGTCGCTTTCGTCTTATCGCATAACCCGTAAAGGAAGCCCCCCGCAGGGAAGTTCCCAGCCGTCGCCCAGCGGGCTGGCTGATCCCATATGGAATCGTCGTTCTGGAGACCGCCGAACAGCTTCCGCAGCTCGCTGGAGAGCGTGATCCAGACCATGAGTTCCTCGCTGGCATTGATGGCCGCCTCTATCTGCCGCACCTCGCACACGATGTAAGTCCTGCTGGACTTGCGCTTCTTGGATCGGGTATCACGCCTGTGCGCTGCCGCTGCGGTGGTCTTACTCCGTCTCGAGGTCAGCGATGACGGATTAGAACGCGATGGATGCCAGCCGAGCCCGCGGCACTGTCGGGGCGGCTCCTGCCTCGCGCAAGTGTTGCATGTAGCCCGCCAGCTTGAGCACTGCGGCATCTTGGGGGGCTTCGGCGGCGCGGCTGCTCTGTTCCTTGGCCCAGTTCAGGAACTTGCCTGTGTTGCGCGCGTGTACCACGAGTGTCCTGTGGGACCACCTCCTGAGCATGGTCTCTAGGTGCGCGTGGCCACCCCGCGCACCGAGCTTCTCCAGCAAGCGGTATGTGCGGCCCTTTCCTGCTCGAGGATCTCTCGCCAAAGCGTCGCGGCCTTCGCGATCCCCTGGTTGCTGACGTCCGCCCACCGCATCGCCTTCGGGCGTGTTTGTCGCGGCGGGGGGCACTGGCCCGGGCCGGCGCGCGCGCGCGCCGGCCACTGTCTGCAGGTGGCCGCGATGCCGCGGGCGGTCGCGGGCGCCGCCTCCTCCGCAAGCGGGCGGTCCGGCCTCTGGCGGCGACTGGCCATGCCCCGGTGCCCGGCCCGCCCGCTCCCCGCGGAGCCTTCGGAGATCTGGGCGAGCTCGCGCGGCGGCCAGCCCGCGGGCAGCGGGCGTGTCCAGTGCCCGAGGCGCCCGAGGGGCCCGCCCGGCGCCGCGACCCAGCGCGCGCCGACCCCGAGCGCCGGGGGCGTTGTGCTCGCGCGCCCAGCTCTGGACTCCAGACGTCGCCCAGCCACCATGTCTCCACGCGCCGCACCACAGAATGGTCCACCCATGGAAAGACATCCCCAGCTCCAGCTGTCTTGCGCCCGCGGCCCAGAGCCCGCCAGCACAACGAGCGCGGCCCAAAAACTAAATTCCACGGGTAGGACCCCCCTCGGGGGGCACGCGTCGCGCGCTCGACACAAAATGGCTGCGCCGGGGGCCCCCCTTCCCCCCCCCCCCCCCCCCCCCCCCCCCCCCCCCCCCCCCCCCCTCCGCGCTCGACTCTGTCAGCTCCGCAAGCCCGTGCCAGACCCAACCCGAAGCTGGGGCAGGCGAAAGTGCCCTTAACCTCCTTCGAGCTGGGCGCCCCGCTGAATTTCTCGCGGCGCTTGCGCTTCTTCTGCTTCTCGTGGGATTTCGGCGATCTCTCGCCCGCGCCAATCATGCTCGCGTAGAACGGGAGATCACTCGCCAATCCGCGACTCGAGCCAGCTGCCCCTGGAGCTGACGCTGGTGCCGCTGAGGAGGAGCCGCTGGGCTCGGCGGGCACTCGACCCCCCCCCCTTCCTCGCCCCCCCCCTCCCCGTCGATTCCATTGGCCCCCCCGCGCCTCAGGCAATGGCAGACAGTGGGCTAACGCGAACCTCGCGGTCGCGAGATCGACGGGGCACTGAAATTCGCACCGCGGGGTCTTCGAGGCAAACGAGCGGGCAAACGAGCGAGTGCACAGGCAATATCAACGCATGATCACCTGGGTGGTCAGCGCTTGCACGCTTGGTGCATGCTATTTTTAATGATGTCAAGATCTGTTTGCACGCGTCAGATTGTCAGACTCGGGCATCGAACGAACCAAGACATAAGCATGAGCGCAGGCATGGCAACAACACCACCCCATGACATGCGGATCGCTCAGCGACGCCCGACAGAGATACTCCCGCAGCTCGCCCTCGGGCATCTCGTTGATCGTGAAATCCTGGCACCCCCCCGACATCGCCCGAAACCATTGCGATGCCGCCCTGGATCGAAATTCCCGCTGGGGCTCGCTAAACCCTTGCTAAACGCACGTGCTTCCTCGAAGCTCTGGGCCCTCGGAATGCGCCTTGGGTGAGCCGCGCGCAAGGGTCGAATCGCATAATGAGAGTGGGGCACGTAGTGGGCGAACCGAGGTGAAGATGTCGAGATCGAGAGTGAACGAGAGGCAAGTCGAGAACACATCAATCAAAACACCCCTGCCCCGCCCGAGAGAGAGAGAGAGAGGGAGAGAGAGGGAGAAAGAGAGAGAGAGAGGGAGAGGGAGAGAGAGAGAGAGAGAAATAAACATACATACATATATGTATATCTATATCTAATATATATATAGATAGAGAGAGAGAAAGAGAAAGATAATGAGGGAGAGAGAGGGAAAGATAGAGAGAGAGATATATAACAAAAAGAGAGAGAGAGAGAGAGAGAGAGAGAGAGAGAGAGAGAGAGAGAGAGAGAGAGAGAGAGAGAGAGAGAGAGAGAGAGAGAGAGAGAGAGAGAGAGAGAGAGACGAGAGAGAGAGAGAGAAAGGAATAAGAGAAAGAGAGAGAGAGAGAGAGAGAGAGAGAGAGAGAAAGAGAGAGAGAGAGAGAGATAATCAAAACAAAAGAAAGAAAGAGAGAGAGAGGAGAGAGAGAGAGAGAGAGAGAGAGAGAGAGAGAGAGAGAAAAAAAAGATAAAGATAAAGAAACAGAGTGAGAGAGAGAGGGATAATAAAAGAGCAAGGGGAAGAGAAAGAGAAAGAGAAAGCCAAAGAGGGAGAGAGAGAGAGAGAGAGAGAGAGAGAGATAAAAGGAAGGAAAAAAGAGAGAGAGAGAGAGAGAGAGAGAGAGAGAGAGAGAGAGCGGACAAGTAGGCGGACCAGGGTCCGTCCGCGAGGCGCACTGCGGTGCGACAACCCGCAAAACACTATTTGCGGCGGTGCAGCCTTTAGATGCGAGGGCGGGCAACAAAAAACCCCTCCCCCGGCGCAGTGCGACAGACGCTACAGACGGCGGACAGACGGTGATGATCTCACCTGTCAGACCGCGTAAAGAAAGAGGCCCCAACAAGAAAGGCGACGTGCTGACACGTGGCTAGGCGGCTTGGCAGACCGCCAGTTGGGCGCTTGGCCGCTAAGCGGCGCGCAGTGACGGGGCACCCCCCGCCCCCACGCCCTGACACCGTGGACGCGGAGCCACGCGTACACACGGGCAGGCAGAAAGGAGGAGATTAGCGCGGGGCACCAGGTGGAGCGCCGCGGAACGATGACAGCATAGCTTGGATGGTGAGTGACGGCACGGCACCATCGGGCGAGGGCGTGAGCAGCTCGGCGAAGGCTCGCCCGGCGCTGTGGAGGCGCTGGAGTAGAGGGCCTTGGCGAGCTTGGGCGGCGGCGAGGTCCGCGGCGAGAGCAACGCACCTCTGCTGGAGAGCAGCCATAGCCTGGGACAGCTCGGTTTCGCGGTCGGTGAGGGGTGGCTGCTCAGTGCCAGCGGCCGAGGGCCTCGAGACAGAGGCGAGGTCCTCGGTACGCCTGTCCAGATGGTGGACTAGCGTAGTGCGGCACCCTGTACGCTGTCGTCCGTCACCCTTGAAAGGTGACTGGAGGGGAACACGCGACCCCAGGGCTGGAGCCGCTAGGGCCACGCCCCGAGAGGTCGGGAGAGCCGCATCCTCTCGCTCAGCAACGATGGAAGCGTGGACGGGGCGCGAGGGCCTGTCTGGTTCAGTGCCCTGCGGGGGGGCTGAAGCCGCCCCCGCGGGCTGCCGCTGGTGGGGGGGCGGAGTGGTTTGCGCGGTGGGACCAATCATGATGCCGCGCAAGGGCTCTGAGGTCGGCCGCGTAGAAGGGTGGCGTCTCGGTAGGGCGGCATGGTCGGCAGCGTGGGGTGTCGGCGGTGCGTCGTCTATGCCACTCAGTCCGCGGGGGTCACCCAGGTCGTCGTCGGCGTCTTGGCGGTGGCCGATATCATCGTATGGGGGCGATGTCGCTCTCGGGGACGGAGTCGCGGTAGGCATCGAGAGGTTGCCCGACGGGGCAGGGTTTTCGCTGACTGGTCCGTCGTCCAAAGCGTCCGATCCCCCACCGAAGCTGAACAGGTCGTCCTCCTGTTCGTCAGCGTCTTGAAGGTGAGCGGCGTTGTCATGTGGGTGCGATGCCGCTCTCAGTGGCGGAGTCGAGGGCGACGTGCGGGTGCCCGACGGGGCAAGGTTGGCGCTGGCTGGCCCGTCGCCTAGGAAGTCAAGGCCCCCGCCAAAGCCGAACGGGTCGTCCTCCTGTTCGTCGAATATCGCCCGTTGGGCCTCGGCCCAGAGCTCGTCCGGGTTCTGTGGGATGTCTGGTCCAGCCGCGGGTGGTGCCTGGTCAGACAGCAGGGGGTTTGGTTCCATTTTGTTGAGTTCCGCAGCTGTAAACCCAGCCCTGCGGTGTGGGAGGGGGAGTGTGCGGTGTCTACGCTCGTAGATGGCGACAGCGACTCCATGAAGCACGGTCGCTTGGCGATGTCGTGTTTTGGCAGCTTCGACAATGTCGTCTGGAAGGTTATGAGTACGTGCCGCCGTTGTGGCGAGGGCGTCAGCCTGACGATTGAACTCCTCCGCGATGGGCCCGATGAGCCCGAGGTCGATGCCCATGTCTCCCAGGTGGCTTGCGATTTTCTCGACGCGGAACATGTTGGGCTTGGCCATGACGCATCGGTGGATCTTTTCCCAGAGCTCCACGTGCGTGCCCTGCGGTGGTGAGTGTCCGTCGATGATACTTTGGAACCCATCGACCACCGCCTGGTTGTCCACGAAAACGTGTACGGGCCGTTCAGCACATGCCGTGAGGTGGACAATGGCGAGGGTCTCCGCAAGCTGTGCGTTCTGCGTAATGCCGTGAACGCGTGCACTGTAGTTCATGCGGTGGTCGATGCCGTAGTAGACGCCGTAGCCCGCTCGTGCTAGCAATGGGATGGCTTGGTTGGTGCATGCACCGTCCGTGGCAGCGTAGACCCATGTCCAACCAGTGTCGTGGTCAAGGTAGGTGGTGTAGGAGTCCTGGGCTGAAGCCGCAGGATCTCCCTCAGGTGGGGGCCGCGGTATGGGCTGAGGTAGCGGGTCCCTCGCGAGGTCGGCCTGCAGGTCGAGGAGGGCTGGGTCTTCATCGAAGAGCCCGCAGTGTCTTGTGTGCGGCGGAAGACGGGCCCACTGCTCGTCACTGATGAGGGTGGTGAGAGGGAGTCTTTCTCGGGCCCAGCACTTGCAGTCGCGGACAGTGTGCTCCTGAGTTTCCTCTTCCTCGTCGCAGTATCGGCAGATGGGGCTGGGGTCAGCAGACGTGTTTGATCGGGATCGTCGCTGTTGGGTGTGGTCCCCGCCCGACAGGTAGTTCAGGAGGAGCGCCAGCTGCCAGGCATTGCATTTGGCTGCTCCTTTCGTTCGGGCGAGCCACGTGCTGGCGAAGAGGTCGAGGCCCTGTCTGACAGAGGCAAGGTATCCAAGGTCGTGACGCCGTGGCTTGATCCTCCTCAGAAAGGCTCTGCGTTGTGAGGCCCGCAGCATGTGAAGGAAGGCGTTTTGGGGTAAGTTCAGCCAACTGATCTGGCAGCCCCAGTCGTCGTACATGATGCCAAATGTGGGCCAGGTCCAACGGAGCTGCTGGAGCGACTGGACAAGTCGTCCGACAGGTCCTCCACCAAACAGGGTCTGAACGTGGTGTTGGAGATCCCTGACGAGACCGCAGAGTGTAGCGTCGCGATTAACCTGTCGCCGCAGACACAGGAAAACTTCACGCTGCGTGATGGCGTCAATCTCCAGGGCGTGTCCTGGGACGCACACGGCCATGAGAGTCCAAAACTCGACCCACTTGTTTCCCTTGGGGCGGATAGCCGCCTTAAGGGCATGGTTGTAGGCAGTTTTGACGGGGCCTGATGGGGCTTGAATGTCGGTGCCCGTGGTACAGACGCTGGCAGCAAGGGAACGGGCGTGCCGCGCCTTAATAAGCATCGGCGATGGGAGCTTGCCAATGCGCGGCAGGCGACTAGTCGCCCTCCGAACACGGGCGTCAGCGGTGGCCGTGAGGTTAAGCGCGGCTGGAGCCGGCGCTGCCTCGGCGTTGATGTAACTCCCGACGAGCTTGAAGGAGTCGACCACGCGTAAGGGCCGTTCCGCCAGAGTGAGCTGGGTAACGGCGGCGTGAAGCTCGTCGGTGAGCGCCCACCCCGCCACTTTGCCAGGGTGAATGCGTTGACCTGAAAATCGATCAAACTTGGCGGTTTCATCAAGAGATTTCTGCAACTCAGGCGCGGTGTGAGTAGTGGAGTTGCTGTCGTCAACAAAGGTAGTGCTGAGTGATCGCGGAACGTATCGATGCTGTCTCTTGGTCCACACACACATGAGCAGCTTAATGTCGTCCAGGGACCAAGAGCTTCCCTGGAGGTGACCGTTGGTCCTGGCCAATTCCTTAGAGTACGCTCCGTTCATGCGGATGTAGCGT